TATATCCACATGAAGTTGGACTCCTACCTTACCCATATACACAAATTAATTCAAAGGGATCAAAGACTTAACTGCAGGAGCAAAAACTATAAAACTTGAAAACATAGGCATAAATCTTCATGACCTTGGATTTGGCAGTTTGTCTCAGATATGACACCAAAAGCAGAAGAAACAAAAGAAAAAAGTAGATAAACTGGATTTCATCAAAATGTAAAACTTTTCTTATTCAAAGGGCACCATCAAGAAAGTGAAGGCAACCACTGAATGGAAGAAAATATTTGCAAATCACATATCTGATAACAGACTTGTACCTAGAATATACAAAGAACTCTTACAACTCAACAATAAAAAGACCAGAGGCCAAGTGTGGTGGCTCACACCTATAATCCCAGTGCTTCAGGAGGCCAAGGTGGGAGGATCACTTGAGACCAGAAGTTCAAGACCAGCCTGGGAAATATAGTGACAGCCTCATCTCTGCCAAAATATTTTTAAAATTAGCCAGGTATGGTGGCACACACCTGTAGTCCTGGTTACCTGGGAGGGTGAGGTGGGAAAATCACTTGAGCCCAGGAGTTTGGGGCTGCAGTGAGCAATGATGGCACCACTGTACTCCAGCCTGTGCACCAGGGTGAGACCCTGTCTCTCTCTCAAAAAAAAAAAAAAAAGACAAGTAATCCAACTTTTAAAGAGGGTTAAAAGGACCTGAATAGACGTTTCTCCAAAACAAGATATACAAATAGACAAAGAGTGAATAAACATACAAAAAATGCCCAATGTCATTAGTCATCAGGGAAGTGCAAATAAAATCACACAATGAGATACCATTTCATTCCCATTAGGATGGCTATAATCAAGAAGATGGATAACCAACAAGTATTGACAAGAAACCAGAAGCCCTCTTACACTGCTGTTGGTCATGTAAAATGATACAGCTGCTTTGGAAAATGGTCTGGCAGTTCCTCAAAAGGTTAAACAGGTAATAACCATATGACCTAGAAATTCCACGCTTAGTTCCAGCCATGCTGGAATGCTCACATTTTCCAAATGTACACACCCAAGAGAAATGAAAACATTAAGTCCACACAAAAATTTGTATACAGACATCAGTAGCAACATTATTCATAATAGCTAAAAGGTAAAACTTCAATGTCCATCAATTGATTAATGAATAAATGTAATGTGGTATATCCACACAATGAAATATTATTCAGCCATAGAAAGAAGTACTGCTACATGCTACAACATGGATGAACCTTGAAAACATTATGCTAGTTAAGAGACATCAGTCACAAAAGATCAGATATTATATGATTCCATTTATATGAAAGGTCCAGAACAGGCAAATCTATAGAGACATAAAGTAGATCAGTGGTTGCCTAGGGCTGGAGGTGGGGTGGGGGATTTGTGGAGTAATAGCTAAAAAGTATGGGATTTCTTTGGGGGCTGAAGAAATATTCTAAAATTGATTGTGGTGATGGTTGCACAACTCTGAATATACTGAAACCCAATAAATTGTAAACTTTAAGTGGGTGAATTGTGTGATATGTAAATTAGATCTCAAGAAAGCTGTTATCAAAAAAAAAAAAAAAAGACTTCCCTCCTCTATGTTCTATGAAACCCGTCTTTTTTTTTTTTTTCTTTTTTGGCAGGGTCTCACTCTGTTGCCCAGGATGCAGTGCAGATACAAAATCACACCTCACTGTAGCCTTGACCTCCAGACCTCAAAGGATCCTCCCACCTCAGGCTACAGGTACACACCACCATGCCCAGCTAATTGAAAAAAAAAAAAAACAACTCTTTTTTGTGGAGATAGGGGGTCTTGTTATATTGCCCAAGCTGATCTTGAACTCCCAGGCTCAAGCAATCCTCCTGCCTCAGCCTCTCAAAGTGCTGGGATTACAGGCATGAGCTGTCGCACCTGGTGTATGAAACCCTTCTTAAGTCCCAACAACACTGACCATTGCATACGTGTCACCACTGTTCCCTGTGCAGACTTGAGTAACTGTGACCAACACCCTTGCATTTATCTGCTGACATGTCTGTTTTGCATTTATCTGTTGACATGTCTGCTTTCCTTTACTAAACTGTAGCCTCCTCAAAGCATGGAGTGCACTCAGTTTTTCTTGGAATACATAGTGTCTGTCCACTGTGTGCATACTACGTGATACGGTACATCATAAATATTTGTTAAAAGACGATCTTAAAGGCTTTCATGTGGAAAGGGAACTGTGTTTGTTTCACGCACATCAATGGGCAAAAATGGAAGACATAATGACATGTATTTTTAAGAATTTTCAAATACTCAGGGTTATCCCTTTCTTCAAAGCAGGGATTTCTGGGTTCTGTGAATTCTCTGATGATACTGAAATTCTGAGTACATTTATAGAGTACGTACATTTTTCTAGAGAGAAAATACAGTTTTAGGCTGAGTGCAGTGGCTCACGCCTGTAACCCCAACACTTTGGAAGGCCGAGGCAGAAGGATCACTTGAGCCCATGAGTTTGACACCAGCCTGGGCAAAACAATGAGACTCTCATCTCCACACAAAAACAAAAACAAACAAACAAACAAAAATTTTTAAATTAGCCAGGCATAATGGCATGTGCCTGTAGTCTCAGTTACTTGGGAAGCTGAGGTGGGAGGATCAGTTGAGCCCTGGAAGGAGGGGCTGGTGTGAGCTGTGATCATGACTCTGCACTCTAGCCTGGGTGACAGGGTGAGACCCAGGGAAACGGAAAAGAAAGGGAAAGGGGGCCAGGAAGAGAGGAAGGGAGGGAGGGAGGGAGGGCAGGAAAGGCGACGGGAGCGCGAGGGAGGAAGGCGAGGAAGCGAGAGAGAAACGAAAGAAAAATATATACGACTTTTATAAGCATGTCCAAAGAGGCTATCCGTAACCCAAATGGCTTAAAGATACCACACACAGACAAGATATAACACCTACTGGAACCTACCCTCACCTCCATCCCCCCCCCCTCCCAGGGTAAGTTTTTTCCTAGTCTACCTACTACTTCAGTCCTCTCTTCTCACACACACAAACGCATCTTACCAACCTCATCTAGCCTCCACGCTCTCACACCTAATCTTAAGGTACCCTCTACCTCTCACGCCCACTTATATGCCCCCACGTACCCGACACGAAATCACTCCGCAACTCAACCACCGCACACAAGCTCCCTACCCCTCTCGCCAAACCTTACATTCTAAGAAGCCGCTGGCGCGCCACGACACACCCAAAAACAAGTCACACGACTTACACGCATCATTCCAATCCCATCATACGTGCGACTGCCTAGTCCAGCGAGCATATCAAAACACTGAACACCACGCGACTCGATCGCACGGCACACACGTTATCTTTACCGTTACCCGCTCGTGCCACTCCACGGGGACAGTCTCCTCCCTAAGCGAGTTTCCATTTGCGCGCACGCAACATTCTGAATGATGAGAAGCGCCGCACCTGACGGGAACGAGCCACCGCACTTCCACGAATCAAAGAGAACTGAAAGTACAAAGACTCCCTATAGATCGAGAACCCCTGAACTACCCCCAACACTTCTCTGGCCCTGTTCTGCAAGGCGAACCAACCCCCATGTCGTTCAATCTCCCACCTATCATTCTTGCTCACAAAACCCGCTTCAGCCCAAAGCGCGTGCCTATCCGCACCCAGCATGTGCAAATCTAGCTCCCAACTCTGCCTTGCAAGATCATCCGCTCGCCACTAATTGCGGCAAGACAAAGTAACACTAAAAAAAAACGCAAACACACACTGTTTTCGGAAGAATCTTCACATGCTTCAGCCGATCAATCCCTGACATTCCCCCCCTACCTTACTTCAAGGTAGCAACCAACATGCATTAGACCAAAGTAAGTAACAAAACTTTTGGACCTTAC